GTATCTTAGCTATTGTGAATTGAGCTGCAATAAACATGGGATAGCAGATCACTTTTTCATATGCTGATTTATTTTCACTTGAATAAATTCCCAGGAGTGGGAACGCTGGGTCATATGGTAGGTCTGTATTCAGATTTCTGAGATATCTCCGCACTCTCTTCCACAGTTGCTGTACTGGTTTACATTCCCACCAACAGTGGATTAGGGTAACTTTGTCCCCCACATCCTCACCAGCATTTGTTGTTGGTTTCTGTTTGAGAGCCATTTTAACTGGGGTGAGGTGTAACCTCGTTGTGTTTTTGATATGCATTTCCCTGGTGGCTAGTGATCCTGAGCAATTTTCATGTGTCTGTTGGCCATTTAAATTTCTTCTGTTGAAAAATGCCTGTTCAAGTCCTTTGCCCATTTCCTAACTGAATTGTTGTTGGATTAGATTTAAAAATGAGAGTTAGCATGACAGTCTAAAGTAAGTCTGGCTTTAGAGAACCAAAGACTACCTTTTATAATGAGGGAATGAGATCTTCTGATCATAGATAGAACAATTGTCTCCCAATTCTCTCATGTGCTGCTTAGGATTCTAAATTGCATAGTGTTAAAAAGGTAGTTTGATTCCAAAATATGGTCTTATTTTAGGTATGAGACCTCTAATCATGAGAGAATAAGTTATATCCATATTTAGATATGTATCTGTCTTATTTATACAGTTCACCCATTAAAAGCATGATCAACTGAACCACTACTTTCAGCAAGTATTTTATAAACTTCTGCCATATGCCAAATATGGTAATAGATTCTGGAGTAGGAAGTTTGTTAATGGCCCTGTAATCAAAATTATAATATAATACAGAAGGGATTGGGTGGGGGTAGAACTAGCAATTTCCTCCAGAACTGAGAATCAGAAGTGAAATTCTCTTTTTTGTTATAGGAGCTAATGGAAGCCTAGTGTGAGCATGGTGCCAAAGATAGGGCAAAAAAGCATGTAAGTTTGCGTAATGGTATAAATTGACAGAAAACTGAATGTGATCAACTGAATGCAACATTGTCATCATCCACAATCTTTTCACTACAAAAATACTATAGTTTTGTTCCTTCGAGTTAATATGAATTGTGATACAAAATACCAGATGCATAGTCATTTAGCAAAAAATAGATTCCTCAGGTTTGGGATTTATTTTTGATTACTTCCCTGTTAATAGTTACTGTTTTAGCAATATGATGAAAGGGGTGATAGTACATATTCTGACCTCAGGAATCTATTCCATGATTCATTGGAAATGTAACATTGAGCAAATTACTGAACCTCTAAAATACTTTCCTGTTTATTAAATGAGAGGAACAATAATTGCTTTAGAGGTACTTATGAGAATTACGTGTAATTATCATACTATCTAGCATATGTTTACTTCAAAAATTCATTATGTTGTCCTTACTACTTTTTAAAAGGATGATAGAGCTGACGTAAATACATTTTTTCTACTGTGATTTGCATAATTTTAGCTACAGGGAAAAACACTTGACACTTCTGTCACTTGACAAGCTAAATGGCATAAACTGCAGTAAAGAGTGTGGAGTTAATATATGCTGGCTGAGTAGAACCATCAACAGTTTTAGTATGGCACAAACCCAAGGAAAATGTTATCTTATTCTAGAATCTAATAAAAACAAATGTAGTGGATGGAACTAGAGGACACTATATTAAATGAAATAAGTGAAATAAGTGAGATACAAAAGAAAAATGTTCATACGAGGAAGCTATAAATGTTAATATCACAGATGTAGATAGTAGAAGAGTAGTAATGTGTTCCTGGAAACGGTAAAAAGGAGGAGGCTCAAAAAGAGGTTGGGGGGCCAGTGCCCTAGCTCATCTGGTTAATCCTCCACCTGTAGTGCCGGCATTCCATATGTCTAGTCCCGGATGCTCCTTTTCCAGTCCAGCTGTCTGCTGTGTCCCGGTAGGGCAATGGAGGATGGCCCAAATGCTTGAGCCCCTGCGCCTGCATGGGAGACCAGGAGGAAGCTGCTGGCACCTGGCTTCGGATCTGCACAGTGCTTGCCGTTGCGGCCATTTGGGGACTGAACCAAATGAGGGACGACCTTTCTCTCTGTCTTTCTCTCTCTCACTGTCTATAACTCTACCTGTCAAATAAATTAAAAAAAAAAAAGAGGTTAGGAAATATGTACCAAAATACAGTATATAGCAGGAATTAGTCCTAGTGTTTGATAGCTTAATAGCATATATTATAGTCCCTAATATTTTATAGGCATTTCAAAATTTATTTTTTAAATTTTATTTATGTTTTACAAGTTTCATGTGTTTCAATATATACAGATTTAGTAACATAGTTATATTTTCCAATCTATCCTGTCTCCTACCCTCACTTGAACCCTTCATCCTCCTCTAGGCTCATAGCACATAGAAATCATAAATGATTGAGGACGTGGAAATGCCACTTACCCTAATTTGATTATTGCACACTGTATGTATGCAATATCATATAGTATCCTACAAATTAATGTGCCAATTAAAAAAAAAAAACAGAAAAATCCTAGCAGCTGATGCTTCCTCTAGAGAGGTCTTTCCCCAGGGTTATTTCTAGAGGAAAACTATTTGCTACTTGTTTTGTAAGGAGAACATTTAAGAGAGAGGCTTCTCCTGTGGACTTTTCTTCTTCTCTTTTGCCAGATGTGTTGTTTACTTTTCTCATATACAGTATTCACTTTCACCTCTGCCTTCTTCTTAGGAACATTTCTCTTAATTTTCAGGTTGGTGAAAAACATATCTGCTGGAATTATCACATGAAACTTTCATCTTAGATTTTATTTTCTTTAATTCTTTCTGAAGTATGTGATTAATTTCAATGATTCCACATGCAGTACATGTGTGTGTTTGTGTGAGTGTGTGTTTGTAAAAGAGACAAAATGATTTATTTTTCAACAGAGATTAGATTATTTGTTACAAATGATCAGTGAAGGTCATCTAATAATTTTTGTGTATTTAGTATGTACTAATATTAATGTACTTTCACATTTATTTAAGAACATAATAAAATTTGTACTGTTACTATTAATAAAGCATATTGAGACCCAGAGAAATCTAAAATAAAGTAAAAAATGTTCTACCTCATAAAATAATTCGTGTAGCCAGGATTCAACTTAAGCCTGATGATAGAAGTATAACTGTTTAAATGAGATAGTTAATTTTCATTCATACCTGGTCTGGGGAAAAATACACTTTACTGGTAATTCAACTTTACATAGAGTTACAAAATAGGAAAGGCTATGTTTGTGTGTGTGTGTGTATCAGTTCATATATTGATATGAAGATGATTGATATGAAAACCCTCTTAATTTCCTCAGGTTCCAAAGCCTCTACTTCTTAGCAGATCTCCCACCCTCTAAGATCCAGGCCTGATCTCATCAGGGGCCCTGTGATTGGGCTATTGCTATCTATCACCTGGCAAACCCACCACTCTGGTGTCATTGCATTTAGGTTTGGGGAAGTACTAATTATTCTGTATCCCGTTTGTGTTGAATCATCCTTGGCATTAAGCAATCAGATGTGGGTGCAAACTGTTGAAATCTTTACTGAATATATGCTAAACTGATCTTCTGTATATAAAGAGAATTGAAAATGAATCTCGATGTGAATGGAAGGGGAGAAGGAGCGGGAAAGGGGAGGGTTGTGGATGGGAGGGAAGTTATGGGGGGAAGCCATTGTAATCCATAAGCTGTACTTTGGAAATTTATATTCATTAAATAAAAGTTAAAAAAAATTACAAATAAGAATTTTTCTATCTTTAATCTCTGAATGTTACATAAGGGTGAAAGCACCTCAGGCAACCACAGGCATATACTGTTGAGTCAAATATGGTGTCACCTGTTGACATGTTTGTAATCCGTAATCACAATCAGCTTACAGGTGATTTTTGTAACCATATAATTAATGGTGAATCCTATCTGTAAACATATTTTATTCAAATTTTATAGTTTACACTTTTTCTGGTCTTTTAAAAATATTTACCAATTTGGTAAAGGCTTAAATTTTTATTAATTTGCTCAAGTATTTGGAGTCATACAGATGCAGTGTAATAGATTTCAAGAGAAATCTACTACAAAATTTTCTGTAGTCTCAAGAAAATTTTATTTTCAAGTTGGGTAGGTGGAAAGTTCTGGAATATGATTATGGGTAAGAATCCATTTGATTTCATAATAGCGATGCAGTTTACCTTCTTGCTTACTGACATTCCTTGTGATGAGCCAGTGATAATAATGGATAGGCTCTACCAAATTGTAGTAAGACAAAATGTAATCCTGAAGATACAAAGGTTTGTGAATATTCAGTTGTTCTAGAGAGCATAGTCAGCCATCTGAAAGTACAAAAATAATTCTATGCATAACAAATTCATGTCCTGTTGAAAGTTGAAATTCTGCTTCCAGATTTCAATTTGATTATTATATGCATTTATCTTTGCAGAGTGTGAATGTTCAGTGATAGTAATGGAATCTCTCATATTTACATATATGTGCATTTATATATGTTGTATATAATATGTATTTACATATATATGCATTTTAGTTAAGTAAATGCTGGGTAAAGGTAACAAAGTGTTTGCCACAGTACTCCTCATAATTTAGCTTTTTTCCCATATATGTGTGCCTCTGAGAAATTGGACAGAATATGAAGGTATCCTGTTATTAAAATTAGATGGAAGTAAACTTGTTTTTCACCATAATATCTATTAATATTATATAATGAACTAGTATTTTATTAAAATGTAACTTTCGAACATTGTCTAGGAAAAAATCTGCATTTAATAATGCATGTGAAAAATATAAAATAAGTCTGCCTAGGATTGCACTGATTCTCCGAAGCAATTATAATTTAACCAATTTATAACTGAGCTTGTTATAAGTCTGTAAGAATATTCCTGATTTTAGAAGTAGTACTATGCATAACTGCCCCTAATTCAATTATTTCTTTTTATTTACAACAGAGATTTCTAACTACATTGATTTAGAATCAAGAACATGCTCAATTTCACTGAAGTAACAGAATTTATCCTTTTGGGATTGACCAGCCACCGTGAATGGCAAGTTGTCTTGTTTATCATTTTTCTTGTGGTCTACATTATCACAATGGTGGGAAATATTGGCATGATGGTGCTAATTAATATCAGTTCACAGCTGAACAGTCCCATGTATTTTTTCCTCAGTCATTTATCATTTATCGATATATTGTTTTCTTCAAATGTTACTCCTAAAATGTTGGAAAATCTGTTATCAGAGACAAAAACTATTTCTTATACCGGTTGCTTAGTACAGTGTTTCTTCTTCATTGCTTTGGTCCATGTGGAAATCTTTATTCTTGCTGTGATGGCCTTTGATAGATACATGGCAATTGGAAATCCTCTGCTCTATAGCAGCAAGATGTCAAGGGTTGTCTGTATCCGACTCATCTCTTTCCCATACATATATGGGTTTCTGACTAGTTTGGCAGCAACATTGTGGACTTACGGCTTGTACTTCTGTGGGAAAATTGAGATCAACCACTTCTACTGTGCAGATCCACCTCTTATCAAAATGGCCTGTGCTGGGACTTTTGTTAAAGAATACACAATGCTCACACTTGCAGGCTTTAACTTCACATATTCCTTGACTGTAGTTATCATCTCTTATCTGTTCATCCTCATTGCCATTCTCAAAATGCACTCAGCAGAAGGAAGGAAGAAGGCCTTTTCAACCTGTGGGTCTCATCTCACAGCTGTCGTCATCTTTTATGGTACTCTGATCTTCATGTACATCAGGCATCCCACCGAGGAGTCCGTGGAGCAGGGGAAGATGGTAGCTGTGTTCTATACCACTGTGATCCCCATGCTGAATCCCATGATCTACAGCCTGAGGAACAAGGATGTGAAAGAGGCCATGAGCAAAGTGATCACTAGAATGTTTAACCAAATAAAATAATGTTGAATGAGTTTTGTCTTCTATTCCACAGATGTTTGGTGATGAGTTGCTTCTTTTGTTTTCTTTAAGATTTATTTTTATTTACTTGAAAGACAGAGAGAGAAGTAGAGACAGAGAGAGAGGTTGTCCATCTCCGGTTCACTCCCTAGATGGCTTCAACGGCTGGAGCTGTGCTGATCCAAAGCCAGGAGCCAGGAGCTTCTTCTGGGTCTCCCAGATGGGTGCAGGGGCCCAAAGTCTTGGACCATCTGCTACTGCTTTCCCAGGCCATAACAGAGAGCTGGATGGGAAGTGGGTCAGCTGGGACTAGAAATGGTGCCCATATGGGATGCCGGCGCTTCAGGCCAGGGCTTTAACCCACTGCACCATAGTGTTGGTCCCTGAAGAGTCACTTTTCACTAAATCAGTCCATTAAGCTAAAAAAATTTTGTGGGATAAAAAGAAAAAAGAAAAAAGAAATCAACGGATTTTGCTGATGAAAATGCGAAATGTATTAGGAATGAAAAAAGGAGTCAATTGAAAAGTTCATTTTGACAAAGTTCATAGGTGGACTATTTGAAATTATTTAAGCACTGGGGGAAGACCAAAATATTTGCTTTTCTTTTCCAAACATGAAATTGATTTATTTGACAAATATTTATTTTGTTAATTTAGAAACTAATTTGTCAGAAAAAAAAACAAATATTTGTTTTGTAATTTGAATACATAAAACTTTTCTTCTTGATGGTTACAACATTGTTTAATACGTTATACTTTGGTTATTATTCTTATGTTCAAAGACTGTGTTTGAAAATAACAATACTCTTGTATTTAATTATTTTAAAGATGTTTGATATATCTTAAGAGAAAAAAGCAAACAAACATAGGTTCTGTCTTTTGCAAATTCCAGAACCTGCCACACTTGAACTCTAACCATGGACTCAGTGCTCACATGATCGTCTGTCTTCAGTGTGACTAAGAGTGGGTAAAAATCAGGTAGCGCATGTGTTATTGAAAATCCAAGGTTCTCCATACTTCACTTGACAAGTTAAAATTCCACAATAATGTAACACCTGTAGCTAAGATGTGATACTTATATATTTAGTTAAATTTCACATTTCAAATAAATAAAATATTTAGGATAGTCTCTGTTATCATTCACAACATATCTTATCATTAAATGTGAGCATAATTTGTTATTTATCTTGTACTTCAATTCTTGAAGTATATGAATGAAGCAACACATTAAGATCTTATTTCATTAAAGTGTCTCATATACATAAATGAACTGCTTTGTTGTAGGAAATGCATAGGTAAAAATGCAGTTTAAACATTATCAATTATGCATTTAATTATATATGTATCTGCAAAGATGAAATTAAAAAAATACAAGAGTTTTGCAATAGGGGAAAGCATTTTTTGTCCAATATTGATTTTCATATTTGAGACAAATTAGTAATGTATATACACTCATTCCACATACACACACATATGCCACAGGCAGCTCTTTAAAAGCATTTATATATGTAAGTGAATTGTCAACTTTGATCAATTATAATAGTAACTTGTCTGTAGCTGCAAAACTTAAAACTCCTAAGGACTTTAAGTTCTTTCTTAATAAGATTCATTGGTGGCAACATAAAAACGATTTCTAGATTGATTTAATTTTCTTTAAAGAGCGTGAGAGAGGGAGATAAATAAAGAGAAAGTGATCTTTCTATTTTTTTAAACTTTTATGTAATAAATATAAATTTCCAAAGTACAGCTTATGGATTACAGTGGCTTTCCCTCCCATAACTTCCCTTCCACCCGCAACCCTCCCATCTCTCACTCCCTCTCCCATCCCTTTCACATCAAGATTCATTTTCAATTATCTTTATATATGGAAGATCAGTTTAGTATGTATTAAGTAAAGATTTCAACAGTTTGCACCCACACAGAAACACAAAGTGTAAAGTACTGTTTGAGTACTAGTTATAGCATTAATTTACATTGTACAACACATTAAGGAGAGAGATCCTACATGGGGAGTAAGTGCACAGTGACTCCTGTTGTTGATTTAACAATTGACACTCTTTTTTATGGCATCAGTAATCACCCGAGGCTCTAGTCATGAGTTGCCACTCTTATCTTGTTTAGACAAGGTCATAGTCAAAGTGGAAGTTCTCTGCTCCCATCAGAGAAAGGTACCTCCTTCTTTGATGGCCTATTCAAGAAATTGATCTTTCATCTACTGTTTTGTTTTTTAAAGATTTATTTATTTTACTTGAAAGCCACAGTTACACAAAGAGAGGAGCAGCAGAGAGAGAGAGAGAGACAGAGACAGAGACAGAGACACAGAGAGAGAAAGAGACAGAGAGAGAGAGAGAGAGAGAGTAAGGTCAGTCTTCCATCCACAGGTTCACTCCCCAGATGGCCTCAATGACCTGAGCCATGCTGATCCAAAGCCAGGAGCCAGGAGCCTCCTCTGGATCTCCCACGTGGGTGCAGGAGCCCAAGGACTTGGGTCATCCTCCACTGCTTTCCCAAGCCACAGCAGAGAGCTGGATTGGAATGGAGCAGCTGAGTCTTGAACGGCACCCATATGGGATGCCGGCGCTGCAGGCAGTGGCTTTACCTGATACACCACAGCACTGGCCCCTCATCTGCTGGTTTACTCTCACTCTCCAAATGACTTCAATGGCTGGATTTCAGTCATGGCAAAGACAGGAGCCTGGAACTCTATTCAGGTCTCCAAAATGTGTGTGAGGGACCCAGGTACTTGAGCCGTCCTCTGCTGCTTTCTCAGGCATGTTAACAGGGAGCTGGATCAGAAGCAAAGTAGCCTGTATGTGAACTGTTGGTCTGACATGGATGCTGGTGCTGAAAGCTACAGGTTAACCTGATATGGCACCATGCTGTTCCCAAAAGCAATTGCTTTTGGCAATCGATGCACATTCATCATTTTCATGAAACACATGGCGTACTATACCAAATTATTTGTTTTAGTAGTAAACTCCAAAAAATGGTTAGCAAAGAATACAATTCAAAATATGATTGGGAAGCATTTTAATCTCTGTAGTCTGTTGGTAGGTGAACTTGGGTCATCTTCATTATTTTTAGCACATTTAACCCTTTAGAGAACTAATTTAGTAGTTAGTTTAATGTTAAGTGAAGAATGATGATATTAAGATGTGATTAAATCATGTTCTTGGGGGCCGGCACTGTGTTATAGCGGGAAAAGGCACCACCTGCTGTGCTGGCATCCCATATGGGTGCAGGTTCGAGTCCCGGTTACTCTACTTCCGATCCAGCTCTCTACTTGGCATTGAAAAGCAATGGAGGATGACCCAAGTCCTTGGGCCCCTGTACCAGTGTGGGAGACCTGGAAGAAGCTCCTGGTTCTTGCCTTCAGATCGGCGCAGCTCTGGTCATTGCAGTCATTTGTGGAGTGAACCAGCCGATGGAAGGCCCCCCTTCACCTCCCTCTCTGCCTTTTCTACTCTCTCTCTGTGTAACTCTTTCAAGTAAATAAATAGATCTTTAAAAATAAATAATATTCATGGTTTGGGATCCTAAATTTCAAATGAATTTGCAGGTGACTGGACAAGACACTGTTGGTCATTCACTCTGCTGTGGGTTAAGTTTTGCTCTTTCATTTACACATTCTCTTGTGGCTTGTAATACAGATTCTATGGCAGAAATTAAAACAATGTTTATATCTGCTGAAATTCATGCTGTTTTTGTAAAATACTTGCAAAAACTGTTGTCATCATTGTTTCTGAGCCTATCATCAGAGTTATATTTAAACATGTCTGACATCTAACCATAAATCCTAGTTCTCTCACCTTGTATTTCTCATGTTTCCCCCTCTAGCATCCTCCCACATATTTTCCTCTTTTCAAATATACATTATTCTAATATATAGCATATTAAGTCATAATTCTCTGATGCCAATGAATTCAACAAATGGGCTTTCTCTGTAACAAGTGAGAAGGAATTCAGGGGTTCTTGGTCCTTGGGCATTGAAAGATGCAGGAAAGAACTTTGATTGAATACAGTTCTGTCCAAAATTATCCAGACTAAATTGGAATAGTATATTGGTTTAGTATTTATGAAAAATATAGGGTGTTCGTTTCATAAACTGTTAGTTTTCTAAACTTGGTATGAAGGTTAAATTTAGGCTATTTTACATACATATATTTTTATTCTTTAAATTAAGAACAATTTAGTCATAAGATAGAGAGCTCCTGTCTGCTAGTTCATTCTCCAAAGGAATTCAATGGACCAGGCAGGCTGAAACTTTATGCTGGGAACTAAATCCAGGTGTCCTGTGTGGATGACAGGAACTCAAATGCTTCAACTGACCCTGGTGCATCTCAGGGTGTGCATTAGTAAGAAGCCTGAGTCAGGAGAGGAGCTGGAATTCCAACCCAGATACTCCAATTTGGGATATAGGCATCCCAAGTGGCTGATTAACACATAGGCCAAATGCCTATCTCTAGACTTATTGAACTTTATCTATTTATTTATTTTTTATTTATTTGAAAGTCAGAGTTACACACAGAGTGAAGCAGAGGTACAGAGAGAGAGGAAGGGAGGGAAGGAGAGAGAGAGAGAGGTCTGCCATCCAGTGGTTCACTCCCCAGTGGCCGCAAAGGCCGGAGTTGTGCCAGTCCAAAGGCATGAGCCAGGAGCTTCCTCCGTGTCTACCACATGGGTGCAGGAACCCAAGGACTTGGGCCATCCCCTGTACTGTTTTCTCAGGCCATAGTAGAGAGCTGGATCGGAAGTGGAGTAGCTGGGACTCAATCCGGTGCCCATATGGGATGCTGGCCCTGCAGGCATTGTCTTTACCTGCTAAGCCATGGTGCCAGCACTGACTTACTGAAATTTAGTCTATCTCCTACTCCACCAGAGATGTTTATTCATTTTCATTCTTCTAGATACCACCAAGTAATCTATAGTGTGAGGCATCTGACATCAGAAAACCACCTTGAGTTGTATAAAGCACCTGTTGGGGGCATTGTCTAGGCTTGTAA